ACTTACAATATTTTACATCTCTTCAACCACTCATCAAGTTTGTAAAGGTAATATTGGTAAAAAATCTTAGCTTTGAAATAAAAAGTAATGCTGTTTTTGAATAAATATAGCTTGACATAAAGAGCCTTTATAAATATGGAGAGGGCTCATTAGAAAGCTATAATGTCATAGTTTTATCTTTGATTAATAATGATGTTTGAATTTGTTATAGGGGTGTTCAAAGTTGTTCTGTTCCTGTTTCCTGTTCCTTGTTACATGGTCAAAATTAAATTTTATTGGCTGATCAGAAGGAACAGGAAACGGAACAGAGAAACAACAAATCTGTTGTTCACCTTGTTTCCACTTCCAAATTTGGAAACGATTTAAAAAAATAAAAAATAAAAAATAAAAATAAAAAAATGAAAACAAGAAAACAAGAATATCATAAAATAGCTTCTACTAATAATAATGTACAACAGCCTTGTCCAGTTCAAAGAGTAGCTTCTACCAATGACATGCAGCAGCAACAAAGCATTTATCCGGTTCAGTTAACTTCTACTAATAATAATGACATGCAATAACAAAACATTTATCCAGTTCAAAAAGTAGCGTCTGTTAATAATGACAAACAACAACAACCACAAAGCATTAATCCAGTTCAAAAGGAAACTCCTTCTACTAAGAATATGACATGCAACAACAACAAAGCATTTATACATTTCAAAAGGCAATTTCTACTACTAATAATGATGAACAACAACAACAAACCATTTATCCAGTTCAAAAGATAAAAAAATGTGTAAATTTTATTGTGTAGATCGGTCCCAAATATAGAAGTTATGGAAATTTCTGCTCAAAGTTGATTCTTATTTCCATTACCTAATAAGGTATTGTACAACAAGGAACAGGAACAGGAACAGAACAACTTTGAACACCCCTATTGTCAAAATGCAAATCAAGCTAGTGGAGAGCTAGTATTTCAGGGAAATTTAGAAGGTAATAAATACAATATTATTGATTGGTTACCAATAGGTTATGACCACAAACCTGTTATTGCCATGTCAGTTGAAAAATAAAGATGGTAAAGAGTATGAAGTTTTTCATGGCAATCATGAACAATCATCATGTCAGATTGGGGTGTTACACATCAGTATAAACACAAACATAGTTGAGCACACTTATAAAAAACTAGCATAGTGGACATTTGTTTTATCACATGTGACAAAATCGATCATTGATCTTTTTTATGTTGTGAAACATATGACTTCAATTGAATTTAGAATGGAAAAAAGTCGCGTGACTGCGCACAA